GTCAAATAATTTGATTTACAGAATGAATTTGAGGGAATTGTCATTCTGATTGCACTGATTGAATAAAATGGTGACCAAGCTTTATATAAACAGATGATACAATAAGTGAAATAAATAACAAAATAAATGGCAATTAGTGTAAGATTATCTTGATTGTGCTTGAAAGAATGCATGAGTAGGTAGATAGCTAAAGACCAACAATTACCAGATGGGTTGTTTGGAGCTAGCCATTTCAGCTTACTAAAGGAAATCGCGAATATATTTAGACTAAGACAATAAGAGACCAAAAAGTAATGAAGGAAACCGAAATCCTCAACCAACTGACATTGCACTTGAGAGATAAGATGAATCACTATGTTACCAATGCTTATAAATGTTGGAAAAAGTAGTGAACCTCATAAAAGAAGTCATTTTTAAGCTACAACAAAATCGTTTTAAGCCAAGAAAGCATTATGTGTGGCTTACACTTGGAAAGGAAATAGCTTATACTCCTTGTCAAAGGTCATCACCACTGAAAAAATGGTTTTTAATCAACTTGTTGTATAGGTCCATATGAGGAAAAAGCAAAATTAAGAAGAACTAACTAGTTGCTAGCTTGACCACATTAGGGTTTTGAAGGAAGGCCTTGGCCTTTAGTTAGCCTTTATGCTTCCGAAAGGTGTCACTAACATTATGTTTTATTCCAAATAAATACTATCCACTAATATTTGTACTGAGTAGCTTCCACTAAATGCATAATTAAGAATAATTTTGCGTACAAATTAACTAACACAAACAAAATACATATACATACTTAATGTATTTCCTAAGTGTATAACTCTATTTTCCTACGTTTTAACAAACTTTTCTTATTATATAATTACTTATATGTTCTTAACGTATTCAACAAATAGGGAATATAGTGAACAAATGATTTCAAAAGATTGTATAGAATATCCAAATGAACTAAAATAAGACAATCCATGAGAATTCTTCAAGTATAAATACTCTCAAGTCTTTGTTAGGTGCACTAACATCTTACCCTTTTGTTTTAACATTTTTTTTAGAAACAACCCTCTAAGAAACAATTTGTTTATTCTCATTATATTCCAACAACAGAAATGTCACAAAAAAAGAGAGTCAATATTGTAAATGTTATATCAATAATAACAAGTATAAGCAATTTATACGTGTTAGTTTTGTATATATTGTTCGTCAACTAAATAATGTTAAATGCTTTTAGTAGTTTCACTTAATTCAAATGAGTAAAAAAAAACCATTCGTCATAAAATCTTGAGATTTTATCAAACTTTTTCTAAGAAATATACTTGTCATGTTCAAGCAACATCATTAATTGTTTCATTTCACTTCTAGATTTTCCCTTTTCATCTTCAATATGCATACCTTATATCATGTATACTTGTTAATATAATTATGACACTATCCTTGCTGTTATCCTTCAAAGTCAATAAAACTCTTATAGACTATAAAATAGTCACTTCAACAAGTATGAATTTCTCATTAGTTTTGACCTCCCAACACGTGGAAAACCTACTAATGTATTATTAGTTATTAATTATGATATGTATAAAGTAACTTCATAAATCATCATCTAGTCATGCTCACTAATTTTTCATGGAAATTGAAACGATACTTACATTTTCTTGTTCCAATTACATTGAGTTGTGATCATCTTTGCAATGTTTATATCTACCACATCTTTTACAACCTAAAAGCACTTGTCTTCCTTCTTTGTTGATATTTTATTGTATCTGACATTAATATGATAATGACAATTACAAGTATAGATGGTATCCCACAAATCTATTCAAACAAGTCTTTTCACAAATCAAACATCTACATAGATACATTATTGCATAAATATAAGTCATTTGTTGCATTTTATAACAAAATACAATATTTACCTCATACCATGAAAAATGTAATGTAATCCTTATTAACTAATTCTTATGTTGTTGAACCAAATTTTATAATATCATCAAGTTTATCCACCCTGGTTAATATGTCAACTTTGTCTCATAGTTTATTCCAAAATTAATCCATTGCAATTTTGTCACACGAATTCATACATTAGAAAAAGTAACAATTACATTGTGTTTTGTGTATGGGGTTGAGTCTTCACATCTAATTGGTCAGTCTTTAACTGGTCGTTCACAACTCCAAGTCTTGTTCGTCAAACATCAATCGGTGGGTACCTATCAAAGGTTCTCCGATGTCAAAGTCAGATTAGTTCAAATTGTAAGGACAATAAATGCGTAATTAATGTGTAACATACGTCCTTACCTCGAACCACTATTTATAAACTTTGTGATGTGTTTTTGATTAAGGTTGGTCTTATTATGGTCCAAACATGACTAATCGTGATTTAACTTTTAAGTGAAATGATTTTGGACTTAATCTACTTTAGCTTGACCAATCGGTCTCCAAAGTGTTTAGATCGTCCAGTCTGATAGGGTTAACCATCTGACTAATATTTGATCGTACGAGTATACTTTACATAGGCCTACCAAGCCCTAAAATTAAATAATTTGTGAGGGGGTTTATACTTTGGACACTCGATGTTATGCCTCCTACCACATTGGTCATTCATTCCAAATTATAATAGTTGAAGGGGGGAGGGAGATGTGATGCCTTGATCTTCGCATATGTCAGAATTTGAAATTTGAAACTTTCTGGACCATAAGATGTGAACAAATCTTATAGTGGAGTATTGGAGACGGTTGATATGAACACTCCTATAAATAAGGGTAGGTCTGGCCTTTCATTTTCACCTTTTTCTTAATCTGCTTCTCGCTCAACCGATCATTTTCTTACTCAAGATATTAATGTCTATCGTTCATGTTTCTTTGTTTGAGGAGTCTTATAACAAAGACAGTAGGGGTAATGCAAATGATGTGTCGTCGTCATTGATATCATTGTTGGTGTCTCCACACGATATCCAAGGATCAACCAAGCAGAGTCTAGACTTGGTCGGCAAAGCGAAACCAAATGTAAATATAGAGGAGAATAAAAGTAACCTTCCTGACATTAATGAGGAGGATTCAACTGCAAAAATTGAGGTTGATATTTCTAATGAGGGATGAGCTAAATCTCCTAGTCGTCCCAGGCTATGATTAGGCGTCCTTCAAAGTTCGTGAGTACATTAACTCGCTCCCGTTGGGCTCGGGACTTATGTGAATGGGTAGGGAGGGCTGTCTACGGGAGTTAAATGTTGCGTTGATCCAACTGCATCCGTATAGTTGGGCATGCGTGCAAGCCTTATGAGTGTTTTCCGCGCGAAGGGTCCTCAACTATTTTTCATATTTTCTTTACATCTTCTCCAATTGTCTTTGTAGATTTCTCATCATCTCTATCGGATTAGGCTGGTTGTTCACTTCTTGCATAACTACATTTCTTGTTGTGTTCCTTGTAGTCACCATGAGATTAACAAGTTGATCTCTAGTCTAACGGTAGGTGCCAAAATATTTTAGGTGTGAGTCGAGTCTTCACATCCAATTGTCGGTCTTCAACTGGTCGTTCACAACTCCAAGTCCTGTTCATCAAACACTAGTCGATGAATACTAGTCAAATATCCTCTGATACCAAAACCAAACTAAAACCAAACTAATTCAGATTGCAAGGACAATAAATACATAATTAATATATAACTTATCTCCTTACCTTAAACTACTATTTATAAATTTTGTGCATAATAAAGAGGTATACTATAAAGAAAACTTCCACATTACATAATTTAGTATAGGTTGTTCTAGAAATCACAATTCTATTTATGAATCACGTGACTACAAAGTGTTTAACGAATTACCTTATTTGAAATGGTTCAATTGACTTTTCAAATTATGCAAGACTAAAGTTATGATTCACCTTTTTTTTAATGACTTTATGGATGAATTTATTAAAAAAAATACCTTGTAAAATCCAAAATGTTTCGTATGAGGTATTCTTCTAGGATTATGCAATCTAAAACTTTTCCCTTTATTCTTCTAGGATTATTCAATAAAAGTTTATTTGCCTCTAGAAAAGTAGAATTCATATAACATATAATTCAAAACTAATATTTAAAATTATTCAATCTATGTCACTTTCAGATATATATAAAAAATATCATAGTGATGAAAAATTCCATTGGTACTAAAAATATTGACATTTATCACATAACTTGCCGGAACATTTTTAACACTTTAACTCTACCAACAATTTTTTTCTAATAGTCAAAAACCAAACCCATCACCATTATAGAATAGTTATTTTTAAGTGCAAATAGAAAACACAGTGAAGAAGGATAAATCTCATTTAATTAAGGTTTTTCTTCCAGCATCCCTACCTTACTAACTACATCCTATAACAATATACAAAGACTAAAATACCCTCCCTAATTGTACTACACCGACCGATATTGTCATTGCTGTCATTGTTACGCCATCGTTGTTGAAAAGGAAGAAGAGCAAGATGGGAAAAAACTCACTCCAAAACGCAGTTCACATATTTCGGAAAGCTTCTTTTGAAAAACTCTTTATGGAAATTTTGTTCGAGATACTATCATATATGTTATGAAAAACTTGATTTAGAAATTCTATTCTTGAAAGCTTATTCGAGAAGGGATTTATGTGTTTTGGAAAGCTTATTTAAAAAATTCTATTTTGAAAATCTTATTCTAAAAATTATGTTTTAGAAATTTTGTTATGAAAATTTTGTTCCAAAAGATTTGTAGAATAGGTCATTTTAAAATTTTGGAGGTGCATATAGAAATTACGAAGAAAAAGCCTTTAAAGGAAGCCCAATTAGTACATTGGTGTCCGAGGAAAGAAAGGGACCCACAAAAGCATAAACGTGAAACATCAAGAGATCCCAAATCACTGAAAATCAAGGAAACCGAGACTGAGCTGAAAACGAAAAAACAAGTTTAAAGAACCAATCAATCCCAAGGTGAGTAACAACTAATTCGTTTCTTTTCCTCTCTCTTTCCTTCCTCGAAAACAAAAACCAAACACACACACACAAAAGTTACATTTTAGCAACAAAATAATAAAAACAAAACAAAAATAAAATAAAAATAAAAATAAAATAGAAAATCCCAGACCAGAACCTCCGAAAAATGTTCATCAAAATTAACACACCGGGGAGACAGGAACAGTACACACATGCAAAACTCAGCAAAACATTTCGTGTTTAGATAGTTTTAGTTTTAGCAAAATCAAAACAAAAACCCATAAAATTTTAGGTACAAATCTTATCTAATCAAACAAAAGGAAAATTCAAAAGATAAGAAATAAGTAATATTGAGAAATCTTAACAAAAGATAAAGAAAGGCATATTTTCTTATCTTTGGCGTGTTATTGTTCGTTAAAGTCCTGTTTGACAGGAACAACAAAACACACACTCATTTTGACACCGTTCGTTCATAAAAAAGAGAACAAAAATAAAAATAAAAAAGAAATCGGTTTATTATTCGAAGAAGAAAAAAAATTAAAAAGGGAATTATTATGAAAGGTGGAGGTGATGATGGTGGGATTATAGTAGGAGTAGCAGTCAAGAGCAACTGTTGTTGTTGTTGTTGGTTTATTATTTTTGATTTTCGATTATTAATATTCTTATCTTACTATTGTTTTTTATCTTGCTTCTTTTATTCTTCTTTCTTGTTCTATCTTTTCAATCCTCACATTGCACACAGCTGTTATATTTTCCCCTTTATTTATCCATGTTGTTGTTTTCGTCCCTTGTGCTCTTCCATTCATCGTCATTACGAAATTGGGATTTGATCGCAAGAGAGAGAAAGGCATAAAGGATTGGAGGAACAACATAAGTTCGTTCTCCTGGGGAACCCTAATTTTTGTTCCTGCTTCTTGTACTTTAGGGGTTCTGCAATTTCTGGGGTTTTGTGAAGCGGGGATAGGAAAGTCTCGATCTTTGATCGCTTTTCGTCCATGGAGGGAGAGGCTTGTTCCGAGGGAGAGAATAATCGGAAAAGGGGTGGCACAGACGATGATAGCAATGAGAATAACAACAACAACGACAGCAATCACGGAATTAGTAGCAAAATTGTGAATTCTAATGAGGGGCAGAGCAAGCCCAAGCGCCAGATGAAAACCCCTTTTCAACTTGAAACCCTCGAGAAGGCTTATGCTGGTTCGTTCCTTGCCCTCCTATCGTTTCTTGAATTTTGCAATTTTCAATTTTCTTGTGTTTTTGTTTTGTTCTGTTTGTTGCAGTAATTTTTTAATTGGGGAGTTTGGTGTTTTTTTTTTTATTTTTTTTTGCTGAGGCCTGGGAAATAATTGTGACTTTTTTTTGGTTGATTAGTGGATAATTATCCGTCGGAGACGATGAGGGGAGAACTTTCTGAGAAATTGGGTTTGTCGGATCGGCAGCTTCAGATGTGGTTCTGCCATAGGAGGTTGAAGGACAAGAAGGACTTGACGTCCAAGAAAGTGCCACGGAAGGTGGTGGCAGAACCTTTGCCGGAATCACCTACAGATGACCCCATGCTTGGCCCCCCGGAGCTTGGTAATGAGTATGGATCCGGGTCCGGTTCAGGGTCCAGCCCTTATGCCCGAGTGGAGCCCCTGAACATTGTTCCCCGGGGTGTGCCTGGTTATTACGAGTCCCCACGGGCTATGATGGAGAGTAGAGCAATTGCTTGTGTTGAGGCGCAGTTAGGGGAGCCGTTGAGGGAAGATGGACCAATTCTAGGAGTAGAGTTTGATCCATTGCCACCAGATGCCTTTGGAGCACCTTTAGGTATACAAAAAATCATAGAAACTTGTGATTCTATCTTGACCTGCTGAATTAACTGAATGCTTCTGTTTCTTTATATTGTACATTGTGTTATTTAGGTCCTATTTTAACTTAGACTGCTTTATCTTCCTTGCANAGGAAGGCCTTGGCCTTTAGTTAGCCTTTATGCTTCCGAAAGGTGTCACTAACATTATGTTTTATTCCAAATAAATACTATCCACTAATATTTGTACTGAGTAGCTTCCACTAAATGCATAATTAAGAATAATTTTGCGTACAAATTAACTAACACAAACAAAATACATATACATACTTAATGTATTTCCTAAGTGTATAACTCTATTTTCCTACGTTTTAACAAACTTTTCTTATTATATAATTACTTATATGTTCTTAACGTATTCAACAAATAGGGAATATAGTGAACAAATGATTTCAAAAGATTGTATAGAATATCCAAATGAACTAAAATAAGACAATCCATGAGAATTCTTCAAGTATAAATACTCTCAAGTCTTTGTTAGGTGCACTAACATCTTACCCTTTTGTTTTAACATTTTTTTTAGAAACAACCCTCTAAGAAACAATTTGTTTATTCTCATTATATTCCAACAACAGAAATGTCACAAAAAAAGAGAGTCAATATTGTAAATGTTATATCAATAATAACAAGTATAAGCAATTTATACGTGTTAGTTTTGTATATATTGTTCGTCAACTAAATAATGTTAAATGCTTTTAGTAGTTTCACTTAATTCAAATGAGTAAAAAAAAACCATTCGTCATAAAATCTTGAGATTTTATCAAACTTTTTCTAAGAAATATACTTGTCATGTTCAAGCAACATCATTAATTGTTTCATTTCACTTCTAGATTTTCCCTTTTCATCTTCAATATGCATACCTTATATCATGTATACTTGTTAATATAATTATGACACTATCCTTGCTGTTATCCTTCAAAGTCAATAAAACTCTTATAGACTATAAAATAGTCACTTCAACAAGTATGAATTTCTCATTAGTTTTGACCTCCCAACACGTGGAAAACCTACTAATGTATTATTAGTTATTAATTATGATATGTATAAAGTAACTTCATAAATCATCATCTAGTCATGCTCACTAATTTTTCATGGAAATTGAAACGATACTTACATTTTCTTGTTCCAATTACATTGAGTTGTGATCATCTTTGCAATGTTTATATCTACCACATCTTTTACAACCTAAAAGCACTTGTCTTCCTTCTTTGTTGATATTTTATTGTATCTGACATTAATATGATAATGACAATTACAAGTATAGATGGTATCCCACAAATCTATTCAAACAAGTCTTTTCACAAATCAAACATCTACATAGATACATTATTGCATAAATATAAGTCATTTGTTGCATTTTATAACAAAATACAATATTTACCTCATACCATGAAAAATGTAATGTAATCCTTATTAACTAATTCTTATGTTGTTGAACCAAATTTTATAATATCATCAAGTTTATCCACCCTGGTTAATATGTCAACTTTGTCTCATAGTTTATTCCAAAATTAATCCATTGCAATTTTGTCACACGAATTCATACATTAGAAAAAGTAACAATTACATTGTGTTTTGTGTATGGGGTTGAGTCTTCACATCTAATTGGTCAGTCTTTAACTGGTCGTTCACAACTCCAAGTCTTGTTCGTCAAACATCAATCGGTGGGTACCTATCAAAGGTTCTCCGATGTCAAAGTCAGATTAGTTCAAATTGTAAGGACAATAAATGCGTAATTAATGTGTAACATACGTCCTTACCTCGAACCACTATTTATAAACTTTGTGATGTGTTTTTGATTAAGGTTGGTCTTATTATGGTCCAAACATGACTAATCGTGATTTAACTTTTAAGTGAAATGATTTTGGACTTAATCTACTTTAGCTTGACCAATCGGTCTCCAAAGTGTTTAGATCGTCCAGTCTGATAGGGTTAACCATCTGACTAATATTTGATCGTACGAGTATACTTTACATAGGCCTACCAAGCCCTAAAATTAAATAATTTGTGAGGGGGTTTATACTTTGGACACTCGATGTTATGCCTCCTACCACATTGGTCATTCATTCCAAATTATAATAGTTGAAGGGGGGAGGGAGATGTGATGCCTTGATCTTCGCATATGTCAGAATTTGAAATTTGAAACTTTCTGGACCATAAGATGTGAACAAATCTTATAGTGGAGTATTGGAGACGGTTGATATGAACACTCCTATAAATAAGGGTAGGTCTGGCCTTTCATTTTCACCTTTTTCTTAATCTGCTTCTCGCTCAACCGATCATTTTCTTACTCAAGATATTAATGTCTATCGTTCATGTTTCTTTGTTTGAGGAGTCTTATAACAAAGACAGTAGGGGTAATGCAAATGATGTGTCGTCGTCATTGATATCATTGTTGGTGTCTCCACACGATATCCAAGGATCAACCAAGCAGAGTCTAGACTTGGTCGGCAAAGCGAAACCAAATGTAAATATAGAGGAGAATAAAAGTAACCTTCCTGACATTAATGAGGAGGATTCAACTGCAAAAATTGAGGTTGATATTTCTAATGAGGGATGAGCTAAATCTCCTAGTCGTCCCAGGCTATGATTAGGCGTCCTTCAAAGTTCGTGAGTACATTAACTCGCTCCCGTTGGGCTCGGGACTTATGTGAATGGGTAGGGAGGGCTGTCTACGGGAGTTAAATGTTGCGTTGATCCAACTGCATCCGTATAGTTGGGCATGCGTGCAAGCCTTATGAGTGTTTTCCGCGCGAAGGGTCCTCAACTATTTTTCATATTTTCTTTACATCTTCTCCAATTGTCTTTGTAGATTTCTCATCATCTCTATCGGATTAGGCTGGTTGTTCACTTCTTGCATAACTACATTTCTTGTTGTGTTCCTTGTAGTCACCATGAGATTAACAAGTTGATCTCTAGTCTAACGGTAGGTGCCAAAATATTTTAGGTGTGAGTCGAGTCTTCACATCCAATTGTCGGTCTTCAACTGGTCGTTCACAACTCCAAGTCCTGTTCATCAAACACTAGTCGATGAATACTAGTCAAATATCCTCTGATACCAAAACCAAACTAAAACCAAACTAATTCAGATTGCAAGGACAATAAATACATAATTAATATATAACTTATCTCCTTACCTTAAACTACTATTTATAAATTTTGTGCATAATAAAGAGGTATACTATAAAGAAAACTTCCACATTACATAATTTAGTATAGGTTGTTCTAGAAATCACAATTCTATTTATGAATCACGTGACTACAAAGTGTTTAACGAATTACCTTATTTGAAATGGTTCAATTGACTTTTCAAATTATGCAAGACTAAAGTTATGATTCACCTTTTTTTTAATGACTTTATGGATGAATTTATTAAAAAAAATACCTTGTAAAATCCAAAATGTTTCGTATGAGGTATTCTTCTAGGATTATGCAATCTAAAACTTTTCCCTTTATTCTTCTAGGATTATTCAATAAAAGTTTATTTGCCTCTAGAAAAGTAGAATTCATATAACATATAATTCAAAACTAATATTTAAAATTATTCAATCTATGTCACTTTCAGATATATATAAAAAATATCATAGTGATGAAAAATTCCATTGGTACTAAAAATATTGACATTTATCACATAACTTGCCGGAACATTTTTAACACTTTAACTCTACCAACAATTTTTTTCTAATAGTCAAAAACCAAACCCATCACCATTATAGAATAGTTATTTTTAAGTGCAAATAGAAAACACAGTGAAGAAGGATAAATCTCATTTAATTAAGGTTTTTCTTCCAGCATCCCTACCTTACTAACTACATCCTATAACAATATACAAAGACTAAAATACCCTCCCTAATTGTACTACACCGACCGATATTGTCATTGCTGTCATTGTTACGCCATCGTTGTTGAAAAGGAAGAAGAGCAAGATGGGAAAAAACTCACTCCAAAACGCAGTTCACATATTTCGGAAAGCTTCTTTTGAAAAACTCTTTATGGAAATTTTGTTCGAGATACTATCATATATGTTATGAAAAACTTGATTTAGAAATTCTATTCTTGAAAGCTTATTCGAGAAGGGATTTATGTGTTTTGGAAAGCTTATTTAAAAAATTCTATTTTGAAAATCTTATTCTAAAAATTATGTTTTAGAAATTTTGTTATGAAAATTTTGTTCCAAAAGATTTGTAGAATAGGTCATTTTAAAATTTTGGAGGTGCATATAGAAATTACGAAGAAAAAGCCTTTAAAGGAAGCCCAATTAGTACATTGGTGTCCGAGGAAAGAAAGGGACCCACAAAAGCATAAACGTGAAACATCAAGAGATCCCAAATCACTGAAAATCAAGGAAACCGAGACTGAGCTGAAAACGAAAAAACAAGTTTAAAGAACCAATCAATCCCAAGGTGAGTAACAACTAATTCGTTTCTTTTCCTCTCTCTTTCCTTCCTCGAAAACAAAAACCAAACACACACACACAAAAGTTACATTTTAGCAACAAAATAATAAAAACAAAACAAAAATAAAATAAAAATAAAAATAAAATAGAAAATCCCAGACCAGAACCTCCGAAAAATGTTCATCAAAATTAACACACCGGGGAGACAGGAACAGTACACACATGCAAAACTCAGCAAAACATTTCGTGTTTAGATAGTTTTAGTTTTAGCAAAATCAAAACAAAAACCCATAAAATTTTAGGTACAAATCTTATCTAATCAAACAAAAGGAAAATTCAAAAGATAAGAAATAAGTAATATTGAGAAATCTTAACAAAAGATAAAGAAAGGCATATTTTCTTATCTTTGGCGTGTTATTGTTCGTTAAAGTCCTGTTTGACAGGAACAACAAAACACACACTCATTTTGACACCGTTCGTTCATAAAAAAGAGAACAAAAATAAAAATAAAAAAGAAATCGGTTTATTATTCGAAGAAGAAAAAAAATTAAAAAGGGAATTATTATGAAAGGTGGAGGTGATGATGGTGGGATTATAGTAGGAGTAGCAGTCAAGAGCAACTGTTGTTGTTGTTGTTGGTTTATTAT